TTCACCCCGGGGAAGCTCGCCGGGCAGCAGAGGCGGCCATGTGCCCTGAGCAGGGGCTGGGAAGAGCCCAGACCCTCTGCTTGCCGGAAGTTGGGTTTTGCAGCTCATCCGTTGACCTGGCTGGGGCTCACGTTCCACATCTGTAAATTGGGGACTTTGACCGCGTGACCAGAAATCTTCCTAAAGCTCTAATACTCCACCACTAGCCGTTCCGTTGGAGAGAACTTTGAAGGGCCCTGGTTTCCATCCCCAGATGAGCTGCTTTGGCTCCCCGCAGGTGGGGCCCTACTGAAACGAGAGGCACCCGAGTGCGTGCCCCAGGAAGAGGCTGGTGGCTGCTGCTGTTGGCTCACGGGTGGCATTTGAGGTCACGACTGCCTTAGTCCGGCTGGCGGGGCAGAGGACTCAGAGTGCAGAGCTGGTCAGTGATTCGGATTCCTGAAACCCAGTGCAACTTACAGAGCCTGGGAAGCTGCATTTCCTCCCGAGCCTCCAGCCCCACCAAGCTACTGCTGTGCCCCGGCATGGTGTTTGGAGCTCCCTGTGAGGCCAGATCTCTCCATGGTGCGTGGTGCCTGTGGAGGAGAGGTCGTGCCTCATCTTCCTCTTTCTTTCCTGCTCAGCCGGGGAGCTCCCAGGAAGGTGGAGAGGTGGAGCGTGTCCTTCACAGCGGTCTGGCACTGAAGCCGAGCGCCTCAAAGCCCCAGCCTGTCAGGCAGCACTCATTTGTCGATCCAGAAGAAGGAGTCACCGGGGAAGCAGCGTGAGGAAGAGAAGGACACACAAAGCACAAGTAGCCGATGTCCCTCCCCTGCTGGCGCCCTCACACCGGGCCGGCGACATCTGCTCTGTCCATTGAGCCCGCGGTCGTCTCTGCTGCATGAGGAGGCAGTGCATGTGCCGAGCTCTCCAGAGTGACTGTGTGGTGTACGGGTTCCTTTAAAGGAGGCGCTCACGGGCCGGGGCCCAGCCGGCTGCAGCACCAGGGCGTGACGGCCACTTTTGTGAGACCCCTCGGCCGGCCCCCGGCCTGTCCGTGCTTCATTTCCACGGGGCTCCGAGCCGTGCTTCTCGGGGTCACAGCCTCCAGGTTTTGAAGCGGGAAGGAGCCCTTGAGTGGAAGTGGGCTCGAGGGACTTGCTCCAGCAGTCACCCGACTTGGGGCCCGGGCGCTCATTGTGTGTCCCCTCCCATCTCCTCTGCCACCTTCCAAGAAGGCTGGCGTCGAACCGACAAGTCGGGGCATTGCACAGTTACTGCAAGTGAGCGGAGTAAGAGACCTTTGACCGTCCACCCAGCATAGACCCGTGGTGCGCGTCCCACGAGTCTTAGCTCAGAAGGGTGAATTCCCGAAAACTCGGGGGAAGGCAAAGCAAAATAGATGCAGACCTGCATTCCAACAACCCGGACTGTCACAGCTGGGTGACGCCTCTGGCTTCCGAGAGGCGGGCGCGAGGGTGGGACACACCAGACACCTCCGACACGGAGAAGAATCTGGCCAACGTAAAGACTGCCGGGGCGAGGAAGGCCGGCAGCTGGACGTGGCGCCTGGCAGGGCCTGAGCAGGGAGGATCCGTGTGGGCACAGGTGGGACATGGCAGCAGGTGACATCCCTGGAGTTTTACAGCCCTGCCTTGTTCCCAGCATCCTTTATTGGATGTGCAGGAGGACACAGAGAAGGTCAGAAGTCCTTTCTCACTGGCGTGATCGGAAATCAGTGAAGAGAAAGAATTTTGGGGGGTTTTCTTTTTGGGGTACTGGGGATCGAACTCGGGTCCTTGCGCTTGCAAGGCAGGTGGCAGAACCACTGAGCTAAATCCCCATTCCGAAGAGAAAGAATTTTGAGCTAGACTCAGAGCATGCACGTTCAGTGTGTTTATTGAGTGCCTGCTGTGTACCACCCGGCGGTAGGCCCAGGGATGCCACAGTTCACTAGACAAAGGTGGGCCAGTTGTTACAGTCTGTGTTCTCGGTGGAAAGACAGATTGCAAAGAGAGCAGACCACGCTCTGGGGAAGTTCTGCGAGACGGAGGAGCAGCCTGCATGTGGAGGGGTCAGCGGCAGTGCCTCTGCGCAGGTGCATGAGGCAAACGGCCCACTTGAGACTCTGAGGGTGGTGTAGACGGCATGTGGGGCGTGCGGAGACACCGGCTTCCGGCTTCGTGGGAGCTCCTCTTTTCTCTGTTGTGAAAGTGAGCTTGGGGCCGGTTTTATTAGATCAGAGGCCTCACAGCATTTGCCAACATCATTCTGCACCCCTCGCGCTCGTGCACAGGGGGTACAAGGCAGAGGGAGGGTACAGCTCACGTGGGCGTCCAGGCGAACTGTTCAGTTAAAAGGGAAAGGACACTCCGAGGGCCCAGAGCCGTGGGGCAGAGGCCACTGCATGTACCACTCAGCTTCGTCCTCCTCGGGTTCCCCAGAAGCGGACCTGGGACAGGGATGTGAGCGTGAGTGGTTGATTTGGGAGGTGACCCAGGAGTCACGGGTGGGGACTGCCTGGGCGGAGGAGGTGATGGGCACGGGCATCTGGAGAGCCCCAGCCGGCAGCCTTACCTCCCAACCCCGTCGGTCCTGGGCTGGCGAGCAGGGTTTAGGCCTTCAGCACTCTGCCCCTACAGCTGGGCGGGGTAGCAGGGGTGGCGTTTGGATGCTTTGGCTGTGGGTGCACAGGGACGGTGGGTCCCGCTGTGAGCCTCGAGCTGCGGCTAGCACAGGTTAGGGGAGCATTTGAAGAAAAGGGTATTGGATGTTGTTCACTGCCGACTACTAGGGAGCCTCTGCTCCGGAATCCCAGGACAGGCTGAAAGGAGCCCTTGGCAATCAGAAGCTCTTTGTGTGGCCTGGGATCGAATCCCAAAGCCCCGTTGTGTGCGTGTGCCTGAGTCTGTTCTGTGCATGCTCCGAATGTGCTCCAGAGGATGAAGATGTCAAGAGCAAGAGAAAACGGTGGGGGGCAGAGGGAGAGTATTTCAGAGGCTGAAAACAACCACAGAGCCTCCTTCGAAAATCGAGCATCGGTGCAAAAGCACTTTGCTGTTGAGGTCACAGAGCGGGGGGCGGGGGGTTCTGTCCCCACAGCTTCCTGGGGTCCCTAACTGTGCTTCACAGAGGACCCAGCCCATATCTTCTGTGGGCAGAGGAGTTTATACTGCATAGTTTATTGCTTCCGGGTGACTCGGCTCTCCAGCCAGGACAGTCACAGGCCACGAGCTGACTTCCCGGGAGGTCAGGCTGCAGACCTGGTGCTGGTCCTTAGACGACCCGGGGTGGGGCAGTCCCTGTCACCCAGGGACACCGCAGCCTTTGTAAGGCCGTCACGGCACCCTCAGCCTGGTGGGATGGCGTCACGCCCCGCGGGCTCCCCAGAGTGTCCCCGGCATGTCCCAGTGCAGCACCCCTCACGTGGCCTGCACATACCAGCTGATGAGTCTGCTGTGCTTTTCACTGTCATTTTAGAGCATACTTATTCTACTTTCAAATGGAAAAGTAAACTACAAGCCGGCTTCTGGCAGGTCCCACGGGAGGCTGCAGAGGGGGCGCTGCTGTTGGGGATACTGTGTGAGGGCGGAGACATGGCACTGGTGAGCCTGGCCCCATGCAGCCCAGGATAGTGTGTGTGTGTGTGTGTGTGTGTGTGTGTGTGTGTGTGTGCGCGTGTGCATGTGTGTGTTGGGGGAGGGGCTTAGTACCTAACAGAAAGCTTGACAAGTTAAAAAAATCCAAACAACAAAACATAGCTGCAGCCAAAAAATGAAATAATTAAAAAGTATATGTAAAGTTTAAAAGTTACTGTGAGCTAGGTAGTCCCCTGCGTGGCACCTCCTGTTGTGTCCCGGTCTTCACCTGCAGCCACTTCCGGCCCTGTGAGCTCTGTGCGTGGGATGGGCCTAGACAGGTGCACCGCTTGTTATCTCGCATGGCGTTTTTCTCTGCTGTCCTATGTTTAGGTGCATTGTGACTCACAGATGCTTACCATTGTGTGGCAGTTGCCCAGAGAGCTGGAGACAGTGAGGTGCTGTGCAGCCTGGGGCCAAGGCACCACATGGCCGGGGTGTGTGGGGGCTGCCAGGTCCACTCGTGATGCCCACGCCATGTGGTCACCTGACCACGCACCGGGCGTGTCCTGTCCTTAAGTGATGTGTGGCTGTGTCTGTAGCTTTTACAGGTATTTATGATACTTTGTCACCCTTTGATTAGGAAGTAGATGCACACTTTGGCTTAACCCTGTGTTGAGCAGGGCAGCTTCTGCTGTCCCCCCTTCCTGCTCTCTCCATCCTGAGAGGATGCCCTGGGACTGATCAGCTTGTGGGCCACGTGCCAAGCTGTATTAATAGACCATGGGGTCCTGTGTGCCCAGGTCCCACCCTGCTCCTCCCCTGCAGGCCCCAGCTGGGACTTCCCTGGGGCCTGCTCGGCTGTGTCTACAGACACTCATCCCTCTGTGCGGGGCTCATGCACCACGCAGCTCACTGCAGAATTAAAGGTCCCGAGTTCGGGTCCAGGCTCAGAGCCTCATACTCTAGCCCAGCTTCCTCTGGGCTCTCGCAGAGGCTGGTTCTTGGCACCGCCAGGGTACCTTAGTTCCCCGCTTCCATCTCCTGCTGTTCCAAATCTGTAGCCACCTTAGATCCCCACCCTGTTGGGGAGCAGCTGGGGTCCCAGGAGCCCAGCAATCTAGACTCCTCTGACCAAACAGTGCAGCTCTCAGAGTTGGGAAGCTCTTTTTGTTCGTTTGTTTTTGTTTTTGGTGGTGATGCAGGGAATTGAACTCAGGGCCTCATGCGTGTCAGACAAGCACGCTACCTCTGAGCTGTATCTCCAGCCCTCTTAACTTTTATTTTGAGACAGGATCTTGCTGAGTTACCCGGCTGACCTCATACTGCCATCCTTCAGTCTCAGCCTCCCAAGTAGCTGGGCTCGCAGTGTGCGCCATGATTCCCTGCTCTGGAAGCTCTTTTCTTTTCTTTTCTTTTCTTTTTTTTGCACCAGGGATCAAACTCTAGACCTTGCACTTGTGAGGCAGGCAATGGAACCACTGAGGTAAATTGCTGGTCCTGGAAGCTGTTTTTACATTGTCTTCCACCTTGATGCTGTGGGTGCCGTCATTGCCAGTCGCTGCCATCACGACTCCTGATCCTCGGCACACGGGCTCTTTCCATTCTCTGCGGTAACTTTTGAGATGTTCTTAGACTTGGCATTTGGAAATTTCATGGTGATGTGTTTGGGGCTGGTTCCTTCTTTTTAATGCTCAGCACTGGTGAGTCTGTGCAGTGTACAGTCATGATGTCCAGTCGGGAGATGCAGCCTGCTAATTAATTCTCTTGTTAATCTTCTTGGCCGTGCTGTTGTACAGATGTTGGACCTTCTAGTCTAGTCTCCTTTTCCCATCTGTCTTTTTGATTCCATTCTCTGTATTCGTTTCTTCCCAGATAATTTTAATTTCCAGGAGCACTTCCTTTCCCCTGAGAGCTCCTCTTCACAACATCTCACTCCTGACCCCAAGTCGCCCAGCTTCTCTTTCTCTGATTAAATTCGCTGTGGCTATCAGTGTACCCATCATGGTCCACGTATCAGGCTCAGCAGCCTTTCCGGAACACCTGAGTACCGCTGGTCGGCAAGCTTGGAGGAGAAGCACTGTAGGGCTCACAGGAAGCTCAGCGTGGTGGGTGCACGAGGCCCCGAGCTCAATGCCGTCATTGGCTTCCGGTCTGTTGTTGCATCATGGCTGAGGTGAGGGCCTCGTCTGTCGGTGGCCACGCTGGATGCCTCCCACTCTCTTTTGGACCTGGAGCATCTCGCTGTGGCTCCCCTCATGCACAGATCACAGCTGGGGATGATGTGCCTGAGTAGAGGTCTCCTGGTGAACTTAGGGAAGCTGGTTTTCTTTCCAGAGCGCAGGGGGGCCACAGTGACACTTCCTCCTCCACTTCCTCTGTGCCTTTCATGACAACCAAGGTGATTGTCACAGTCAACCATGTACCCACTTGTGAAAGGTCAGGGGACAGCAGGGACGCCGAGCCTGACCCCTGTGAGGTGCTGATCCAACACCAATGATCCCCGGAGGCTTCTCTACGGGGGAGAAAAATAAATTCCGCTTTTCCAACCACCTTAAATCTGTAGTTTTCTTTTGACTTCTAGCCAAGGATATTCCAAATTGCATCCTTTTAACTTTCTGGGAAAATATAATAGAAAATCGGACATTTTCTTTGTCTCAAAGTTGCCAAAATGGAGAAGGACAAAACTGCAGTCTTCTTACTGTACCTGTTGCTGACATCACTTATCTCTGGTGGGGGCCATGGACCCTGCCAGAGGGCTCTAAACTTTGGTCATCACAGGAGACCCACCCAAGGAGTCCCTAAGGGCTGGACCAGCGATGGGAAGATGAAAGCCCCTGGGTCAGACCTGGCCCACTTCCTGTTTCTGTAAATAAAGCTTTATTGGAACATAGTCATGTTCATCTGTTCCCGTATTTTCTGAGCTATGTCTCAGTCCATTTTGTTTCTTTTCTCTTTTTTTGATACTGGGGATTGAACTTGGGACGTTGTGCTTGCACAGCAGGCAGTGTCACCCATTAGCTAAATCCCCAGTCCTCAGTCTGTTCGATTTGTAGCTCAGTTGTACAATGAGCTGTCGCTGGGTGCCACAGGCTAAGCACTTTGTAAAGAATAGAGAATCATTTGGTTCATAGAGCTGGAGGCTGGGAAGTCCAAGAGCGTGGCCCTGCTATGTGGCGAGGCCGTCTTGATGCACCCTGGGCCCGGGACATCCCAAAGGGAGACAAAGCAAGCATTCAGGGTCGAGTGTCTGCTCCTCCTCTTGGGAAGCCAGGGTTATCATCTGGGGGCTCTGGCTTTCTGACCTCCCCTCATCCTGGTCTTCCAGAAAGCCCCAGCTCCAAATGGCATTAACATACGAGTTTGGGGGTTGGTTCCCAGTTCCTGTTCATCCCAGCCAGCTGTTCCCGCACTGCGGCGGCAGAGGCGAGCGGTCGCGACAGGGGCAGATGTTTGCTGTCTGGTCCCGCCCAGAAACCTGTGCTGCCCCTGGGTTACAGGGTAGTAAGGGGGCACCTGGCCAAGCAGGCTGTGTCCCCTCCAGGAAGCTGCAGGTGGGAGCCAGCTGGCCTGGGTGTGGGATGGAAAGACCATGGCTTGAAAGAGCCCACTGTGTCCCTCGGAGGACAGGGTAGACACAGACACCAGCTTTGTGCAGTGCACCAGCGAGGCGAGTCACGAGGCATTCCTGACCTCCTCCTCCAGCCTCCCTGTGCCAGCCCTTGAGACACCAGGGTCTTGTGAGCAAGCTGGGAAAGAGCAGCACATCGGGTCCTTCCTGGGCTTTCTGCTGTAGATATCAGGCCCCAAACCAGGCCTTGTACATCGGCTGTCTGCTGTGCCATGGCTTGGCTCGTCGCCCAGAAGTTCATGGTGCCCTGGTAGTGGTCTTAAAGGGCAGGACCCGCGGGCAGGCTGCCCTCATGAAGGACTGGGCGCTGGTGTCGAACCGTGAGTCACATCTCTCAGTGGTGGTTCCTTGCTGTGACGCCGGTGCAGTATTACGTGAGGTGAGGCCTGGACCCCGCCCCTCACCGCCTCTGCACACGGCCGGTCCCCTTCCCACCCTCCGCCGTGTTGTCACAGCCAGGCGCAGTGCCCTGGGATGGAGAGGCACAAACCTCTTCTCTCCAGGCATTACTCCGCCATGGCAACACAAAACGGATAAAGACGAGAAGCTCTGACACCAGATAGGACTGGACTTGTGGTGCCAACAAAGCATTTCCACCGAGCCTTGGGGAAAACAGACATTGCTGAATACTATATTCAGTGGCAGAGAAGACAGTTTGGTATGGCCGTCAGTTGTATGGCCAGAGAAAGTTCTATCGAAATGTCCTGTTTATTATGGAAATGTCTGATAGAGTTACAGGGTACCTCGGTTCACAGACTTCATTCATTCCGTGATTTTGGTGGTGATTCGAATTGGCCACGAACCGAATCAGATCTCCCCATAAAGTTCAAAGTAAGTCAGGTTCATCTGTTCTGAACCATATGGATTTTTAAACCACAAAATATGAAACAAAATCTGAAACAGTGCAGTACACAGAGAGAGAACACCGACCTCACGCCACTCACTGCCGCTCTGTGCAGCTCGTCTCCTTCGTTGCTGCTCTGCTCTTGCTCTGGGGTCGTGCTGGATTGAGTAATACTGCGCAGTACTGTGCATGCTAAAAGGCACACAGCACAGCTTCTCAGCAAGTGTGCCCAGGTCTGACTGCGACGCCCCCCGGAGGAAGCCAGGACCCTGTGTCAGTGCAGAGAAGGCGGCTGTGGTCAGGTTCCTCGCCTGATGCAGAGTTGCTGAACGGAAGCAAAATTTGGCCGGCCGCTACTGTTCTTGAGCCTGCCTGTTGGAGAACAGACGCATTTGTGAACTGAGGTCATTGCTGTGCACACATCTATCCTTCCACTTGGAAATCTGTGTCCAGGCACTAGCAAAAGTTGTCCTGGGGAGATGGGGGGAGCCGTGTACGGGCTGCTGTGCTGCTGCAGGTGGGACCCATGGAGCGGACGTCACGAACACAGTGGAAGTGAAAGGCAGGATCCCTGAGCAGGGGCAGGGAGAGGCCGTGTCCTCTTCCATCTCAGGGGCGCCTTGTCGGGAAAGCGCCCCTCACAGAGGTGTCAGAGTTGGGGTGGACACAGGATGAGGCGCCCGGAGCAGGAAGCAAATCTTAGAAGGTCTGCATCTGTGTTCCCCAAGGAAGGAGGAGGAGGCTTCCCCAGGTGGTGCTGGATGCAATCGCTTCGTCGGTCCACTGACCGGGTGGCCTGGTCACGGTGACTGAGGCTTGAGAGAAGGTCTGGGGACCCATGGGTCCATCCAGCAGGACCCCACCCTGGGCTGGCCTTCGCCTGCAGTCACTGGATGGCTCCATTCCTGGTTTGTTTTCAAAACTCAGATGTCTGAAGATGAGCTGTATGCTTTCTCCATCCTTCCAGACCTGCTGACCGCCACTGTGATGGCCACTGGCCAGCGTGTGGGGCTACTGCGTCCACAGGGGAAGAGATAATAAGCACCGTCTACATGGCTCCCTGCAAGGCAGTGCTTGACACGGTCAGAAGCTGCTTTCCACGGAAACACGTGCGGTGTTTCCATCGTAGTTAGCCTCAGCCACAAACCTCGGTTTTCTACCAAGAACACTTGTAAACTTCCAACCTGCAGACAGAATTTTCCACCTACCTTCCAGAGAATAATTATTTGGGAGAGTAAAGTATCACCTTCTGGCAAGTTTCCCAGAGCCACTGGCTGGCAGGAGGGAGGGCGAGGCCTCCCAAGTCCTCGTGTCCACTTTGGAGGTGGGGAAGCTGAGGCACGGGCCAGCTACATTGCTGAGCTGACATTATTCACGAAGGCAGAGGCAGGGTTAAAAGGAAGTTGGTGGCCCCAGACTGTGTGTGCTGGGGGACACGGAGGAGGAGGACTGGGTAGCAGGTGCACGCTCACAGAGGGGCCGGACTCAGAGATGATTTTCTGGTCGGGCTGTATCCCCTGCATGCTCCCAGTCACTGCCTTCCAGGATTTGGGTCTCGAGTGGCTTGGGTAGGGGATGAGTGTGGGGCCGGGCTGGATCCTGGGCTCTCAGATGCATCTTGCTTGCTGTTCCTCATTCCCCTGTCTGTCCCGACACCCAGCCCTGTGGGCCGCACCTGCTGACCCAGAACAGAACCAGAGAATTCGTTCCTGTTTCATCTATGCCCTGACCCTCAGTGACAGCCTGTGGGGTGGTGTCAGTGGGAGCAGCCGCCCTCCAGTGCTGTCCCGCTGACCCCCCATGTGGGGCGGGAGGGTGGGCTGCCTGTGCCTGCTGCTGGGCTCCACCCTTCCCAGGCCAGGCTTGCCCCCTTCTTCCCCTCCTTCCAGGGAAGCCCGAGGCCGGGAGAAGGACAGCTGTTCCCCGGACAGCAGCCTTTGCTCCTGACCCCTCTTCTGGGGTCTTACGCATGAGCTCGGCAGGGTGAGAGAAGCCAGACAGCCCCACTGGTCTTCCCCCCGCCGTGCCCCAGCCACCCAGAGCAGGGCCCCTTCAAACTCTGGGTGCCTGGCCCAGCCACATGGGGATAGTTCTGCCCTACCCTTCATGGGAGCCTCCAAAATAGCCCTGCCTCAGCCTCCTCTGAGGAACCATCCCGGGGAATCCTCCTCCTTCTTCTGGGCTCCCATGAGGATGATGGGACATCCAGGAGGAGAGACACTGAGGGCGCAAGTCCTTCCAGCTCTCTTGATCTCCTAAGTCCAGACCTCAGTCTGCCTGTTTGTCTGCGGGACGTGCACCCAGCTGGGGAATCTCAGAAGCAGAGAGGCAGGCGGGGTGGAATCACCTCTCTCCGCAGCTCTCTCCTCTCAGTTAGGGCTGTGTGTGGAGTGGGTGTCCGTGCTGGTGTGGGTCAGTCCACGCTGTGTGGCTGCAGGGTCTCGGGACCTTGTCCCTGTGCTGGGCCGGCCCAGCCCCCTGCACCTCTCAGTCCCTAAGTTGGGCTCCTAACCCCGTGCCGCAGAATGTAATGCTGTGTGGAGACCGTCTTTAAAGAGGTGATGAAGGAGGCCATTCAGGCGGGGGCTCTGGTTTGGTCTAAGAAGAGATCGGGACACAGAGCTGGAACATCCGGGTGAATCAGAAAATTATGACTTTGTTCAGAGCCAGTTTTCCAAGAGCCGAGGCCATCTAGCTGCCTGCTCTGAGCTCTTGGAGCGGGGTTGCCTGGAGTGTTTGGTACAAAACCCAGCACTTAAGAATACGAGGCTTTCCGCTGTGGCTGAGGCAGCTCATTGATCAGGACCTGGCAGCCTCCTCGGGGGAGAGGAGATTTAGGATGAGTCCCACTGTGTCCTGGAGCTGGTGGCGGTGTGACAGCCAGGCAGTGAGGGGCTTGTTCACGCTCCGTGAGTCCGAGGGACCCCGCATATAAATAAGAATGTAGGAAATTGCATGGTGAAACGTCGGCCTCAAACTCTGCACTTAATGCTCTTTCCTGAAGGAAGTCTGTTTGGCAGTGGAGGAGATAAAGCGTGAGTTAATTTTGGTCGTTTCAAACAGTGACCGACATTCTCCAAATGTGCCAATGCCGCATTTTTTAGGGCATCACCAGTGACGAGCGTGAGACCGCCGTCCAGTGCTGAATGTTGAAACCCTGGGTTGGATGGGGCTGAGGTGCCGGGGTGCGGAGAAAGCGTTGAGTGCAGACCCCACCTTAACTGCTGGCCGCTTTGCTTTTTACGAGCACAGGAGTGCACAGGCGTCTGCATTCCTCGGTGCAGCTGGTGCCCCCACAGAGCGCGTCTTCCCTGCCTTTTCATCGCTTCCCTCCCTCCGTCTCCTGAGCCCCTGCCC